GTTGTTGTTGCTGTTGCTGTTGCTGTTGTTGTTTGTTGTTTGTTGTTGTTGTTGTTGCTGTTGCTGTTGTTGTTTGTTGTTGTTGTTGCTGTTGCTGTTGCTGTTGTTGTTGCTCTTGCTCTTGTTGTTGTTGTTGTTGTTGTTGTTGTTGTTGTTGTTGTTGTTGTTGTTGTTGTTGTTGTTGTTGTTGTTGTTGTTGTTGTTGTTGTTATTTTTGTTCTTGTTGTTGTTCATCTGCTTGTCAGCCAGTTAAGTTTATACGAGGTTACTGAATGTTTTAGTGTTGCCAATTAAAAGACGCAGTGTTTCTTGTTCGCACTGTGCACGCTTTCAAAATGCCATCCTATATTTTTATAATATGAATTTATTGCTTTGTTACAAAGTTGTTTATCGCCATGAAGGTCAATGAAATATCATGATCTATAGCTTAGAAAATGAAAACACTTTCATAATGGCTTTCCAAGCACCAACAAGTACAGATTTTGTTAGGTTTACATGAGTTTATAAACTTACATGGATGGAAATACACAAACTTTGTATTTTTTACGAAAATATTAATAATTATCAGGAAATACTTCAATACAAATTTTCGAAAACTTAAACTATCTCAATAAAAATATAGTTTCTGCTTATTTTAAAAAGCGGAGAAAATTGGTAAAAATGAAATGTTAATTTAATGCTCGGAATATTAGTTTAATACACTTTTCGCTACACCAAAAAGTTATGGCTGAATAGATGTCATAGATCAGATATTTCATGTCAAGTCAAGGTTTTTGTCAAAAGACAGTGAGCAGACATGTTTTGTTGAGCTCTCTAAAATTTCAAAATTTTTGTAATACAATCCAATACAACACACTTGAATGGATGAAAGATGATATGAAAAACTATCCTGACGATTTTTAGCGATTGAAAGTCGTTTATTCATTTGTATAATGAACAATATGGCAACCAGCTTAAGCGATAAGCTATGCATTGCATGGTCAGGTACTTACGAGTCTCTAAAACAGTTTGTAAGTGAAGATTTACAACTCAAAGGAACTTGGGAACAGCCTGGAGGTGATAGGAAGTTGTTTAGTTGTGATACATCTACTATACTATGGAGAAAGAATAAGGGATTGCTTTCCATCAATGGCGAAAATGCGACCGAAATCATGACAGAGTTATGCAAACGTGTGTAATTATCATGCAAATAATTCACAAGTATCTGTCTCAGCCCACGCTCAACTATCAAATGAATTATCTGATGATGTGCATACGGATATTGAAGGTCTAAAACTGGGTCAACAAATCAATGGCGAAGCAATCCAGTCTCTATCGGCCTCTATCCCGTATATAACTTCTCAGTTACAAGATTTGGTAAACAAAAACAAGACTGGTTCTGATATTTCCGCTTTGCCAAAGCAACCTTGCGTATCGGACGAGCTTACTGATTATGTAGATTCCGACAGTGCTGGTGTTGATAATTCTTTTGTCATACAAGAATCGACTAATCCTCGAACGAACAATGGGAGCACTACCGAACAACGGCCAATTAATCATGAAGAATACAATAATCAGTTTAACAAATTAAACGGGAATGCTTCCGTAAATCCTATAGAAGTGAACCCAAATAGTTCATTCGCTGATATTTCTATAGAAGATAATAATAATACGAAAGCACATCACCCTACCTATGCAGAAAAGACGGCTAATCCAACCGTTACCAAAACAAACCACCAATATCCTATCAAGAATAACCTAAGCAAGGAATCGGAGCATACCTCGCAGAGTGTGGTTTCTGAGGCCGGACAGTCGTCTGATGATTTTATTGGAGTACAGGGTAAACGTGGTAAGACTAAGAAATTGTTCGTAACGGGAATCGCCGAAACTGTAAACGAAAGTCAAATCCTTTCTTACCTCAATCAAAGAAATATTTCCCCCACTTATATCTCGGTTTTTCGAAGCCGCCGTCGAGAGACTCTTTCGTGTAAACTCCATATACCCTCAGGCGCCAGTGCACTGGTGGAGAAGTAAAACTTCTGGCCCACGTTTGTTACTTGCAAACCATGGCGACCAAAAGATCATGACATGAACACAACTCAGAAGAAAACAAACCCGACCCAGAATGGGAGCTACTCAACCCTTGTACAATGGCGGAGACACCCTTGCAAAACATTTCTACAGTACACGGTATGGGAAGGTCTAGAAAACAGCATTTCGGCCGACTCAAACCAATGCGTACTCGAAATCTCAGTAACCTTGTTAAAATTCCTATTACCAAAACTCATTCTCCAAGAACTGAATTCGTTCCAAAAATTATGCTAACTAATGTCATGTCTCTAGTTCCTAAGCTTGACGAGCTACGTATTTTGACCTCTGCACAAAGTTTTGATTTGGGTTTTATAACTGAAACTTGGCTGCGAGAGTCCGTTTGTGACACCCATGCGACTTTATTTGATTACCACCTCGTGAGGCGGGATCGTAGTCTTGGTATCCACGGTGGTGTCTGCATGTACATAAAGAATTCCATCCGTTTCGAACGATTACCTGAAATGAACATTTAGACTTTGAGGTTTTATGGACACACATTAGACCACCAAGATTACCAAGGGGAATTAACGGCATTGTTTCTGCATGCGTCTACCATCCTCCAAGTTCCAGCAATACAGATCTTTTTCAATACCTATC